AAACAATTTCCAGATAGTTTCAAAAAGCTTTATTTCAACCAAGTGTCCAAATAAACTGTCATGATACAAAACAGCACATTTACAAAGCTAACTGTACAAAATAAGTTTGCTTCTTTTGTTGACTGACACAGTCTATAATTTGCTCTAGAGAACTATAAAGACTACTTATTTTCCTGCTTTAGTACAGAAAAGAAAGGATGAGTCAAGGCCTCTTCAAGGGTAATTCTTTTGGCTGGGTCATACTCCAACATTTTTTTAATTAGGTCAAACAGATTTTCATGGTCAGAATCTTGACACAGCATGAACTCCTAAAGAAAGAAAGGGGGAATAATCAGTTGAGGAAATTTCCCCACAGAGAAAAATTAACTCATCCTTTTACCTTGAGTGGTTTTCAACTCTTACCTTGAGTGGTTTACAGCGTCTTGAAACATATCTACCCGCAGAACTATGTTCATCCCAGTCTAGTTGGTTATGATGAAAATACTTGTGTTTCCTGCAGATAATTGAGTTGCAATCACAAACCGATCTTTTAAAACAATATGACCATACACTCAATAATCCTTTTGTAAGGGAAGATGGCAATATATAAGGATTGCCAGTAGTAAACGTTTTATGTACATGGTTCTGTTTGTTCAGGCAACTGTGTGTATTAGATGAAGACTAACAATTTTAACACTACACCAAGATTTAAACAGAAGTGGTAGAATTATACAGAAATGTCTGTACCAGGCCAATCTCAGCCCTATCACTCAGAACACCAGAATGATGTGGACAAATTAAGCAACCAAGGTTGGTTCTGAATAGGTTTGACACAGCTCATCAATGTCAATTACTCTTTTCAGTTATGTACTCACTGATCCATTGCATTTGACCTTTAGTCTAAGGCAAGGGAAGGCAAAACTAACAGCTAGGTTTTTGCAATTTAGTTTCCTTCCTCACTGTCAAGATGACGAGACATACCTTTAGTTTCCATTCCTGTCTTCCCTTATTACAGAAAGTCAGTGATATTTATCATCTTCCACTCAGGCTCAACAGTGTAAAAAGCATAGTGGTGCAGCAAAAATAATCTCTTTTTGGGGGGGGGGGGGGGTTTTCCACAAGTCTAGCAAAGCAGAACATTGCTGTTCTCTGCTTTACTAACCAGAGTTGTGACTTATCTAGATGAAGCAACACATGCACCAGAACTTAGATTAAATGCAAACCTTGATTTTTAAATCAAGTCTGAAAATTATAAAAACAAATGGCACAGGGAGAAGAAATGTTTGAATATAATCCATTACCTGGTTTTCTGTATCATGTGAAGTGGTAAAGGCCCAAGTATTCTTTCCATCATTGCCAAATGCTCTTTACTATCGTGTGTCTAAAGAAAGAATAAAAACATTTAGCTTCTTTAATATTTTTTAGATGTCAACTTTCAGAAATAACTTACAGCTGAATTATCACAAAACTAAGCAACACTTTCTTCACAGGGACCAGCTGACTCTGCATATAAATTCAAAAATCCCAACATCAGCCTTCAGAATTAGAAGTTGTGGTGGTGAACTGTTTAATAGAACTGATGCAAAAAAAAGTTTAATGGAAGCTATATTTTTTTCAGCTAAATTAACATTTAAAAGAATTTAAAGCTAACAATGTTTCACACATACAGAATGAGAATCAACTGTCTAGGAAGGAGTATTGCAGAAAGATCTAGGGATCACAGTGGACCACAAGCTAAATAAGTCAGTGTGACACTTGCAAAACAAAAAAAAACACACCACCCCATAATTCTGGGATACATGAACAGGAGTGTTGTGAGCAAGACACAAGTCATTCTTCTGCTCTACTCCGTGCTAAGGCCTCAATTGGAGTACTATGTCCAGTTCTGAGCAGCACATTTCAAGAAAGAGGTGGAGAAATTGGAGAAGGTCCAGGGAAGAGCAACAAGAATGATTAGAAGTCTAGAGAACGTGACCTATGAAGGAAGACTCAAAGAATTGGGCTTGTTTGTTCGGAAAGGAGGAGGAGACAGAGAGAGGACATGACAGTGGTTTTCGGGGATCTAAAAAGGATATCACGAGGAGGGAGAAAAATTGTTCTCCTTGGCCTCTGAGGATAGGACAAGAAGCAATGGGCTTAAACTGCAGCAAGGGAGGTTTAGGATGGACATTAGGAAAAACTTCCTGTCAGGGTGGTTAAACACTGGAACAAGTTGCCTAGGGAGGTTGTGCAATTTCTATCACTGGAGATATTTAAGAGTAGGTTAGATAGACATCAGGTATGATCTAGACTTTACTGGGTCCTGCCATGAGGGCAGGGGACTGGACGATCTCTCGAGGTCCCTTCCAGTTCTAGTGTTCTCTGATACCTTCTCACTATAACACCTGTTCCTACTACAAGCATCCAGGAGGATTGGCTTTTTGGGTCATGTTACTTCTAAACATGTCATTTTAAATAGAACTTCAGCATTGCAACATTGTAGAGGGGTAGAATGGCTGCCCTCTGAACCGGAAGCAGAAGAAACCCTCTGGGAGCCATTTTGGGGCCAGCCTAGCTCCGCCCCCTCACCTGACCGGAAGTCAAAGGGCGGGGCTAGGACTATAAGAAGGCTGCCTGGGAGCTCAGTCAGAGCCCAGCCTCTGAGGGAGCCAGAGGCCTGGCTGGAGCTCCTGCCTGGGGAGGCTAAGACCCGGGGTAGGCTGCCCTCAGCCACCTTTCCAGAGGCCGGCCAGAGACTCCCTGCCCGGGCTACTAAGGCCTGGCCTGGCCTGGCCCACCAGCTGAACCACTTGCGGACCCAGAGGACGGGACCGCACTGCTGGACCAGCTGGACCCCCAGTGGGTACGGGAATGCCGGGCTGGACAAGCCCCGTGGGACACCACAGAGCTCCGACCTCTTGACCCCTGGATTGGGCCGCCGGCCCCTGCGGAGACGACGTGGGTCTCAACTCCCCAACAGGCCGCTGAGGCTACAGGTACTGGGGAAGGGGGGGAGACGAGGAGTGGCCCAGGGGGTAGCATGGGCTGAGGACAGCCCTAGGCCAGCAAGTTGCGGGCTGGAGCCCCTGCTGAGCCCGTAGCAGCTGAACGGCTGCATCCAGGGCCCCTGGGCCGGGGCGCAGTGGAGTGGGTGGGCCTGCGCCCCCTGCCACCCACTAACCGGGTGGCAGTCTCCCACCCCCCTTGCCACTGCGACAGCTGCACTGCCGGCCCCGCTCTTGAACTAGGAGCTCCTACAGACCTGTGGGTTTGTTTGCGGCCCCGCCTTGCGTTGGGGCCTGGCCAGCAGTTGCTGCCCTGCCCTGCTCGAGGGCCTGGGCATCCGTATAAGGGTTTTGGCACCCGGCCAGCACCCGGATCGGACCTTTTAAAGGGCCAGGACTCGGACTACTCCAAGGCACGGTGGGGCCATAGGACGGACTAGCAATCCAGTGTACCAAGGCGGAGGATCCGCCTCCTAAAGGCCCGCCGGCCTACAACGAACCATCCCCCGGAAGGGGGAAAAAGCTCAGGCTATTGTGGACATTGCCGGCAGATATAATTCCCCGAGCAGACGGCAGGGGTGCTGTGGTGGAGCAGGAACCCCGCTACAAACATACACATCTTTAAGGTAAGGCTTATAGTGGAAATAGATGCCTTGCTCCTTGACAGTTCCCTCAGTAGAATGCTTGCTAAGATTTGAGCATGTCCAAGCAGTGTATCTAAACTATTGCAAGGGAAACAAAACCATGAACTCTGCGACTCGAAATAAAATAAAGGGGCCAATATTTTACTGTTTAAAACAATTTTAAGCTACATATTTAGATACTGATTCAGGATCTTGAATCATTATTTGCTTAAGACAACTGTTCTGACTGATATCATACAGTTAGGACAAGCTACTTTTAGGTGCATTTTTAACACATCAAAGCCATGACTGTAGTACATTGTGTGTGACTACATAAGCAGGGAAAAGCAATAGTGAACAGAGGTAATTTCTGTGTACCTGTACAGTCTAAGTTCCCATTATAAAGCAAAAGGACAATGTTTCCTGAGCATCAGAATGTCTATCGAAAAGCATCTCCCCAAGACTTCATGTATTGGGGGAACAACAACTATTACCTTTTGATAAGAATTTTCAAAGTTACCTACCGGAAATACTGTGAATCCAAGATAATATTCTATGAGAATACAACCTATGCTCCAAACATCGCAAGGTTGTGACCATCCCAGAGCTGTCAAAAAAGTTAAAAAAAAAATATACATGAAACTTGTAAATTTTACTTTAGTTAAAAGTGCAATACCCATTAAAAGTGCAATACCCATTTTAAGTTAATCTGTTGGTGTACTTCAGAATGGGGTAGACAAATTAAGAAACTGAATAACAACTGACACCCATTATATTAATGCAATTGAAAGCAGTTCTCTCTCTAGCAAGTAAATGGCCTGGGAAATAGAAATCCAGTATAAGTCTTTTTAAAACACCGGCTCGATTGTTTGAACATACAAACTGATCTCAAAAAATGAGAATCAGCCCTCAAGGTGGTAATGTAATGAAGTGTCTGAATTAATAAATGCTGTACAGTAACAGAAATTACAATATTTCTAAATAAGATTTAATTTCTGACCTAAAATAACTTCAGGAGCTCTGTAATGTCTTGTAGATACCAGAGTACTATGATGTTCATCATCATATGTTGCACTTCCGAAGTCCACAATTTTGATGTCTGGATTTTTTAGTGTACGTTCATCACGTTTCTAAAATGAAATATACAGCATTAAATGCATGAACAGAATAAGCCCAAAAGATATGCTGTAGGGAGAACCATTTGAGACTATAGATTTACCAGTTTTGGGTTGTACTCTTCTACATAGTCAGACTTCACAAATAAAATATTTTCAGGCTTCAGATCTGTATGAGTCAATTTGTTCACGTGTAAAACTGCAAGAGAAATGAACGTTAACAAGCTGTGTGTAAAGAATAGTAATAATTTCAACAAATTTAAAAATATTAAACATACTTACAATTTACAGATTTACAAATCTGATATGCTATCTTCCTAATGTGGTCAAGCCGAAATGGCAAAAAACTGTTCTCTTTAATAAAGTCATAGGTACTAAGTCCCAGTAGTTCAAAAACAATGCAAACATGACCGTGATGTTCAAACCATTCCAACATCTGTACACAGCGACTAAAAAAAACCAAACAGTAAAATGTACTGTAATAGACATACAACTGATGTTATAAATGCTAATATAGCCAATTTATGAACACAATATATAACCTGAACAGTGAGTTATCCCAGTATACAGTAAGATTTTCTTATATGTATTGTTCTAACTGGGTGCTAGAAGAATGAAAGGGAGGGCAACAAACCAAGTTCCAGATGTTATGGACAACCAGAAGCCAACTGCATGCTTCCAGGCTCCAGTTCAAAGTGATATTAGTCCAGTGGTTCTGAACTAGGGGCCCATGGCTCCTTGGGGAAGGGGGAGGGAGTCTGTGTACAGGTTTCAGGGAGTCCACCAAGCAAGGCTTGCTGGGGCCAAAGCCTTATTATATGGGGTGGAAGCCCACGGAACCCTGAACAACTGCCCAGTTTGTTACCCCATAACACTGGCCCTGACTCATAGGCACTACACTACAGTAGAAAACTGACTTAAGCTATGCAACTCCAGTTATGTAAATAGCTAGAGTTGATGTACCTTAAATTGAGTTGCTGCACCACAGAGGATTAGAGGGAGAAACTCTCCCACTGCCTTCCCTTACTCTCCTCACCCAAGGTAGAGTAACATGGATGACAGGAGAGTAATCTGATTTCAATTTGGCAGATTTTCACTAAACTCACTAAATCAGGGGTGGGAAACCTTTTCTTAGGTTGGGGGCCACTGACCCATAGAAAAAATCCAAAACCCCTCACCCTCAAAAAAAACCCTGCAAAGCCTAAGGGGACCAGGCTAGTAGACTATGCCTCCCTTTGGCTCTAGGGTGGTGCCAAAATTAGGAGTTCAATGCATGGGAAAGGGCTGAGGTGGGTATGTGGGGTGTGGGCAGGAGGTAGGGTACAGGAACAGGCTGGGGGTGACAAAGCAGAGTCTGGGGATGCCAGGTTTCCTCTTCTGCCACTCAGAGGATGGCCAAAATGTTTTTTTATCCTGGATGGCAAAACACAGCCTGCCCCTTCATCTAAACATTGACAGCCATTGCCTGACTGATGAGACACCATGCTGCCTCACAGTAAATGTAGAGTCTTGAATTTGTTGTAATGGTCATATGGGTCATTAGAACTCTTTGATTGGCTGCAACATACCATATATTGGGCAAGGCAAACATTCCCCAATAGCTGTTTCAGTGTACTAAGCAAGACACGCAAAGGAAAGAATTCACAGAACATTGACACTATATTGCCTAAATAATCCAGTGTTAGTACTTCATTTCTTTTACTCCATTAAACAATTGTAGCAATAAAGAAATCCTAAAACCAAAATTTCTTCCATTCTAATTTTATACTTACAATGTGCTGTTGGGATCCGATGCATTTAAATGATCCAACACCTGTATTTCTGAACGAGCCGCTTCACAGTATCTATCAACATTTTTTACTATTTTCACTGCTACGTGTCTACCTTCACTGTAAAATAAAGTTTTTGAATAGTTATAGGCAACAGAACTACTGCTACAGGATAACAATAGCACCTCATAAGTTTCCTTTACAGCACAAATGAACTGCAGAAGCTGCCAGTTAATTATCAAGTGATCTTTGTAACATGAATTTAGTGTTTACCCTTAAAACTATTAAAAAAACCTATTAAATGTAATATATTCAAATATAAAACACCAATTTTCTGCCACTTATTGTTGTTCTAACATGTTGAATAGGCCCAGATCAGGGGAGTGGATTACTTGCATCTTCCCCCCACTTGCTGTCTCTATATTAGAGGCAGCAAGGTCAAGGAGCAGGGAAGAGAACAGGAGACGGTGCATGGGGGAGCTGGCTTAGAAGCCAGCTCTCCCCCAACTTCATCATGCTGCTTGCCCTCTGCTGCTGCCTCAATCAGAGGCAGCAGTGTGGGGAGGGGACAGGAGAGGTTGCTCTGGAAGCAGCCTCTGCCCCCTGCAAACAGAGGCTGCTCCAGCAGCAGCATCTGTTCACGGCAGCCGAGACTGGCCGCAAACAATGGCCGCGCTCCAGCAGTGGACCCTGTCCACACGGCTGTCCAAGCTAACCACTGGGATCCCCCAGCTAACGGGGGATGCTGAACCCAGCAGGATCCAGGACTGAGCAAGCCCCAGCTGAGTCCCAACTTGCACCGGGTCCAGGATCTACCCGCACTGCAGCTTAAATGTCGTGTAAGCTTGGCTGCTTCCACACAGAAACACACTTAAAAAGCAGAGCTGCACCAGGGGCCTTCTGAGCACCTTCCCATATCAAATAGTTGTGTAGTTGATACAAACTGTATTGACTACACCATTACCCATCTCTTAACACCTTTATCCAGATTAAAACTAATACAGATGTAACAATTTATAGAGTTGGATTTTATGCTAACACTTTATTTTAGTACTAAAAGACATGTGGTGTCATCATGATAGCAAGTTACAGACTACACATGTGTCTTTCTCTCCCATATTAGCACTGGAGAAAAGCTTGACATACAGCCTCTTCATCCGACTTACGAACCAGTTGCAGACGAAGCAATTGGTCGTAACTCAATTTGTTCGTAAGAGGGGATCCCATAGAGTTACATGCGACCGCGCTGTTTGTAAGCACGGATCGCGTTCGTAACTCGGGGTCCGCCATTTACGACAGCTTCGGTCGTAACTGTGAACGGCCGTAAGTCGACTGTTCACAACTCGGGGACCGGCTGTACTGAGATGCAGGGTTTGTCAGACATCTTAAATCTTGGTATAATCAGAAATTGGATTTACAAGTTTTTTTCAGTTAAAAGGATTACATTCTGTGAGTTATTTGCAAATTATGTAACTGATAAAAGCATAGCTAGGTATTAGGGATTGTAAAATGCACTTATTCAGTAAAATGTGTAGCCACTGAAAATGTCAGTGGTTTCACAATTACATGTGGGGATGGGCAGCTCCACAGAATCACCCCTACTCTGCCCTTCACCCTCTCCATCAGAGGCTATAGCATGGGGGTAGGGAGCACACGAGAGGGAAATGGGGCACAGGCAGCTCCTCAAACTCCAGGTGCCACCTGTCCACACCTTGCCTCTGCTAGAGACAGCAGCATGTGTGTGTAGGGTGCAACTATGAAGGTTAACTGTTTAGACATTCACATCCCTAATAGATACAATTGAACAAATTTGTGTATTCTTGATTTATCAAGTACTTGTTATATACAGATAATTCAAATATTTTAAATCTGAGAAAATGGACTGCAGCTTTATAAACAATAACCTTGCAACTGTGTTTTATCCCTGTATCAGTGCCATTATGTATAAATACAGAAGCAATACTATCAAGTCAGTTAAGAAATAACAACAAAAAATTAAAGGATTTAATAAAATTTACTGCAAATGTGAAACCAGTTTGTAAATTAAGCCACACCAGACTGACAAAGTTTCATTTGTAAGGGGGGGGGGGGGGGGGGATCTATGCACTCCACTACTTTTCCAAAAGCACCTTCACCCAGAGTACCAATGATTTCATCTAAAAGAGAAAAAAAAATCAGTAAAAGTAGTAGTGATATTTTATTTAGTTACTCACAAAACTAAGTTCTATCAATGCAGATTAATCTAAGCTGTGCCTATAAAAAAGTGTAGCTAAACATCTCTAAGCTAGAGTACTTATTTTATTGGACAACTCTCATCAAGAGTTATAGCCATATCATTCCAAATTTCATTAACTTCATTTACTATTTTGGAAAATGCATATCAATGTTTAATTTCTACAGAAAAAGAAAAATAATCCCCCCACAAAAAACAAAAACAAAAAACCAAGAAAGAAAGAAAAGACTTTCAAAGCCCCTGACATCTTATTCTAAAAGAAATTATTCTATCTGAAAAGTTAATAAATTTTGAAAAATATTCTATACATCTTGCACTTAGTACGTCTCCACTCTGACAGATCAGGTGACCCTCCTCATCATCCTCTACACTCCTCGATCTTTTCCTTCGGTGACTCTTCTGGAAACGGCATGTGGGCGGCACCAAGATCGTCCAGCCAATCAATATACCCGAGTGAATTCAGGGCAGAATACGAAATTCATTCAGCGGGGAGATATTCAGGCATTCAGATACGCGCCAGGCCACAAACGGTTGGCAGGAGCAATTTCAAATTCAGTCCCCAGAAATTCACAGGGCACATAGTTTATGTTACAGGAGAAAAACATGGCAAGGAACAGATTTTCAGATAAGATACTCAAAGTGGCAAGGCAACAAAAAATTACAACACAATTTTTTTCAAATGATTCACTCGAGGCACTGAAATTTTAGGATTGCTGTGTCCTTATTCGCAAGTCTAATGCTATAAAACAGCAGGATTTAATATTTACTTATCTATATAAAATAGCCTTGTGGCCAAATTAAACAATCTGAATTAAACATTGAGCAGTATTTCAGAATTAAAAAATAAGTCACAAAAAGATAAATCTACTCCAGGCTGCTTCAGTTAAAGAGTTACCAGTATAAATCATATTGTCTTCATCTGCTTTGTCAATTAAAGTTATGCACACCTAAATTAAGAGATCAAACAGCATCCAGCTAGTGGACAGACAGCATGCATATCAGATACTCTAAATCATACCGGAGCACTTATCAGGTGTTTTATTAACAGTTGCAACACTGCCTGCATAGATGCCTCTTTGAAATACAAGCTTACTTTAATGACTTTGTTAACAAAAGGAAATTTTAGTAGTATCTTGCACATAAATCACAAATGGTTTGGATTTTGAACAAGATGAAAGTATGTACTTTACATGATGAATTACGGACTTAAATTTTAAGACCTATGGGGGGCAATACCTATGTTTCAGTTGACTATTAAATAATAAGCTCATTGGTGGTTTATTACTTTATTCAGTAGATTTCTGATAATTATATGTGCTAAGGTTTGGCAAGTATATACCTGCGTGAAATGACACCTTCTCATCCAAGGAAAATAATCTAACAAAAAATGATGTATTGTAAATATTAGAAATAAGACCTTCCCAAATTCGCACACTGACTGCTACAGCTCAGCTGAGAAGTTATTTTCCTAAAATAAAATAATCTTCTAAAATTTAAAAAATTATTCATACCATTTGTGAATGATGATGTGAGGCACTATATGTCTTGTGTTTTCTTTTATAGCTACTTCTCCCACTATGGCCTGAAGACTTGCTACTGTGGTTGTGATAACCATTTTCATGATCTCTGTTATGTCCATTTTCACACACTTGACTGTAATCACTTCTGTATTCTTCAATATAGCGCCGATCATGATGATCTCTTTCATTTGCAGACCTGGCTTCCGAATAATGACTAGAAATTAAAATAAGTGCATTTAGTTAACATTGCATTACATCAAGTGACAATTCTTAATTATTACTGAAAGGCTTCATTGTTGAAATACTTGCAAAATATTATGTCAAGAAAATACTAAGTAAGTTAACAGATTGTCTGATATGTACTTACTGAAATCTAAACAATTCTTCAAACAGTTAGCAAACCACAATTAAAAATCCAAAATTTATTTACCTGTCATTATGTTTGCTGCGCTTGTTCTCCCGTACACTGCTGTGAGATCTCTTCTTTCTCTTATGACTATTGCTGCACTTTCTGGGATCACAACTTTCCTTTTCATCCCAGTCAGGATATTCACGTCGTTTGGAATGCCGCATCTGTCACAAAAAACCCAGTCCCACCTTTAAATTACATCCTAAATTAGTGATGTCATGAGTAGTCAACTAGATGATTAACCCATAAACCTAGGCTTATGGGTTAATCCTGTCAACTACTCTCATTCTCCTCCCCGCTGCCTCTGTATGGAAGGCAGCAAAGGGGGAGGGGGAAAGCTGAGGCTAGGGGAGCTAGCTTAAAAAGCCCATTCTCCCGGCTCAGCAGTGCCGCCTCCTACCCCATCACAGCTGCTTCTAGCAGTGGTGGCCACAGCAGCAGAGGGAGGGCATTAACTGCTTTGCAGTAGCAGCCCCTCTCTGCTAGGGATCCAAGCTCCCTACAGACAGAAGCTGCTCCACATCGAGCCTGGCTCCCCCTGACAGAAGCAGCAGGGGTGAGGTAGCAGGGGGCTCCCAAGGAGTGGGACCGAAAGCCCACTGGCGCTGGCCCCACCCCTGGGGCCTATCAAATAGTCATGTAATCTGAAAGAATTCATGAAGTTACACGACTATTCAAATACCCACTAACATCCCTACCCTAGTTACAGTCACAGCTTACCAATACAATGTAAATAAAAATTAATGGAGATTGCCTATCTCCTAAAACTGGAAGGGACCTTGAAAGGTCATCGAGTCCAGTCCCCTGCTTCCACAGCAGGACCAAGTACCATCCCTGACAAATTTTTGCCCCAACTGGCCTCCGCAAGGATTGAACTCAAAACCCTGGGTTTAGCAGGCCAATGCTCAAACCACTGAGCTATCCCTCCCCCATAATAGAGAGCACACTGATCTAAACTGCTAACAGTTTTAAATAGTTAAATCTTGCCAGTGAACTTTATGGTAAGTAATAGGGACATTAAACATTGGTTAATTGAATTGTCGATTAATCTCATGAATTCTTATTGGTTAGTCAACTATTCTATAGTCCCTGGTCAGCACATCTGAGGGGGAGGGGTCTGAGCTCCCAGACCCAGCATGAGCCAGAACTGGGTTGGGCTGCTTGTCTGCCTGGCTCCTAATACACTTTAAATGCAGAGCCACAGTGTGGGTAGGTCTAGGACCCAGCCAGAACTAAGCTAGGCTGCTGGCCCACCTGCAAAGAAAAATTTACTGGTGTGGAGGAGGGAAGAATGTGTGTAGTCTATAGCATTAATCTATAAGTTTTTGCTTATCGGTTAATTGACTATACTATTACATCTGTAGTAAGCAGGGATGTTAAAATTGATGTATTTATGTAAAAGTTTACATGCAGGGAGGAGGCTCCCCCCGGAGCTGATGCTCGTGAGGAGCCAGGTAAAGACGGCTCCCTGTAAGCACTGGTTCCATGACTGGAAGGAGGCAGCTCCGTGCAGGGAGCTGGCTTTGGTCTCCCCCGCCACCCCACACTGCTGCCTCTGAGGGGCCTGCATATAACCATGGGCGTACACTGTTAACAAGTGGTCACCAACCAGTAGATTGGGATCTACTTAGTAGATCTTGGAGCCTCTGACAGCCTCTTGGCCAAACCAGTCAAGATCACCTATCAAATGCAGCACTTCAGCTGTTCTTCCCCCCATTGCTGTGTACCTCCTGCCCTTTTCCTTGGCACTGTCCCCCACTCTCCTGCTTGCTGTGCAGAGCAAAGAAGGGAGAAGAGGGAGCACTGATGTCAGGGTGCCTCCTCTCCCACCCTGTAGTTTATCTCCACAGAACAGAGGGGGTACAACAGGGTTTGGCATGGAGGGAGTTTGCTGGCTACTTCTGAGAGTGGTGTAGGGCCAGGGCAGCCTGCACCCCTACCCTCTGCCCCTGCCTGATGAAAGGGAGGAAGGATGGGGGAAGTCTGGAGAATGGAGTGAGCAGGGGTGGGGCACTGGAGAAGGGGCACAAAGGAGGCGGGGCAAGGATATTTGGGTTTGAGGTAGATCCTGTATTGCAGTTAAATTTTAAAAAGTGATCTCGTGTTTAAAAAGGTTAGAGATCACTCGGTACACTGTAACAACCCTAATGCTAAGTATCCTGTTTTGTAGCATTCCTCTTGCTCCATCCTCTGGTTTCAAAAAAAATCAAGGCATCTGTGTCTTTACAGAGACAGGGACCAAATAATCTAACACACCTCATAAGAAATTCTATCACCTCAAATATTTTGACTCTAGCAAAGACCACCCATTAGGAGTTAGTCATTTCTGCAGACATGTTCATGGTGAAAATTCCTTCAAGTTCCACGTTCCATTAACTCAATTTAAGCAAAAAGCATTCTTCATGTAAACATGCCTATCTAAACATACCTACCAAAAGTTCCCAAGCCTCAATCAAAACACCATGGTAAACTGCTTAAATATCCTAACTCTGATTATTATGATTATGCTTTGTCTGCAAAGAAGGGAAGAACAGGAAATGGAAAAAATATAACTCAAAGCTTTTATCCTAGTCAATATCATAGAATGATAGAGGGGGAATAGACCTCAGGAGGTCATCAAGTCCAGCCCCCTGCCCAAGGCAGGACCAATCCCAACTAAATGACTTAAAAAACCTCTAGGGATGGAGATGCCACCACCTCCCTAGGGAACCCATTCCAGTGCTTCACCAGCCTCCTAGTGAAATAGTTTTTCTTAATATCCAACCTAGACTTCATGTTCTGCCATCCGTCACTACTGCGAACAGCCTCTCTCTGGCCTCTTTGGAACCTCCCTTCAGGAAGTTGAAGGCTGCTATCAAATCCCCCCTCACTCTTCTCTTCTGCAGACTAAACAAACGAAATCCCTCAGTCTCTCCTCATAGGTCATGCACTCCAGCCCCCTAATCATTTTGGTCTCCCTCCGCTGGACCCTCTCCAATGTGTCCACATCCTTTCTATAGTGGGGGGGACACAGCACTAGACACAATATTGCAGATGTGGCCTCACCAAAGCCGAATAAAAGGGAATAATAACGTCTCTGGATCTGCTGGCAATGCTCCTCCTAATGCAACCTAATATGCCATTAGCCTTCTTGGCTAAAAGGGCATCCTGTTGACTCATATCCAGCTTCTCATCCACTGGAATCCCCAGGTCCTTTTCTGCAGAGCTGCTACTTAGCCAGTCAGTCCCCAGCCTGTAACACTGCTTGGGGATTCTTCTGTCCCAAGTGCAGGACTCTGCGCTTGTCCTTGTTGCCCCTCCTCAGATCCTCACACACAGTGGCCACATACATAAAATATGAAGGTGACAGTTTATATCCCCATCTGAGGACTGTGCAATGCTGCCGTGCACGTACCCCCTCCGCTAACCTTTCCATGGGCGCCCCGTGCCCGGCCGTGTGAGACCCACCCCCGCAGCCGGAACAGGCTGAGCAAGGCACTTCCAAGCCTCCTCCCTCTCGCGCAACCCCCGCCCTGCTCAGCGCCAACCCCGCACGGGCTGCAGCCGGGCAGGCGGCCGAAGCAGGAACGTGCCTGATCTTTGATATTTTCATGTA